TAGTGAGGAGGGTGACTTTTACCGGTGTTTCCCGCCCGACCCGGGCATTGGTACTGCTGCTCCAGGTGCCGGTGAGGCTTCTGCTCTAGGTGCCAGTGCGTATGTGCTCTCAGGTGCTCGTGAGACTGCTCTCTCAGGTACTAGTGCGTCTGCGCTCTCAGGTACTGCGTCGGCTTCGGCCTCCCTCACCTTCACTCTTGACTCTGGAGCGTCTCGCTCTTTCTTTCGGGACCGCACCACACTTACGCCGCTTAGTCGGCCGGTTGCGGTTTCCCTGGCTGACCCCTCTGGGGGTCCTGTCCTGGCTCGCTTCTCCACGGTCCTCCCGTGTCCGGCGGCTCCCTCTGGCACCCTGTCTGGTCTCTACCTCCCCTCGTTCTCTACGAACTTGGTGAGTGGTGCTGACCTACAGGATGTGGGAGTCCACCAGTTCACCCCTGCTAGTCAGCGAGTGACGCACTGCACGGAGGCTAGCACAGGTCGTCACCTGGCTACGTTTACACGTCAGCCAGGGTCGAGCCTGTACACACTGACCACTGCTTCTCCTCCAGGTGCTGAGTCTGGTAGAGTCCCTTCGTCTGGTCAGGTGTTTGCTGCAGCGTCCAGGTCTGGTCCTGAGTCTGCCCCCTGTTCGTGTCGCCGTCTGTCTCACGAGACCCTCCTCTGGCACCACCGTCTTGGCCACCCCTCTCTGCTTCGGCTCAGAGGCATGGCCTCCCGTCTTCTTGTGTCTGGTCTCCCCCGGTCTCTACCTCCCCTTCCCCAGGGCCCTGGCTCTGCCTGTGTCCCCTGTGTCGAGGGGCGCCAGCGTGCTGCCCCTCACTCCTCCCAGATTCCTCCGACAGAGGCTCCGTTGCAGACGCTTCACATGGACGTGTGGGGCCCTGCCCGCGTCCGTGGACTCGGTCACGAGCGCTACTTCCTGCTGGTGGTTGACGACTACTCGCGTTACACCACAGTCTTCCCCTTGCGCAGCAAGGGTGATGTCACTGAGGTGCTGATCGGCTGGATCCGCGCAGCTCGTCTCCAGCTCAGGCAGAGCTTTGGCTCGGACTTTCCTGTGTTGCGTCTGCACTCGGACAGAGGCGGAGAGTTCTCCTCTGGCCTTCTGCGTGCCTATTGTCGTGCGCGAGGCATCCGCCAGACCTTCACGCTTCCGGACTCCCCGCAGCAAAATGGGATTGCAGAGCGCCGCATTGGCATGGTCATGGACGTCGCTCGTACGTCCATGATGCATGCGGCTGCCCCCCATTTCCTGTGGCCGTTTGCGGTCAGGTACGCAGCGCATCAGATCAACCTCTACCCCAGGGTCTCCAGGCCGGAGACCTCCCCAGCGCTGCTGTGGACGGGGAAGGTTGGCAATGCGTCGGCGTTCCGGGTCTGGGGATCTCGGGCGTTTGTCCGCGACTTGTCTGCGGACAAGCTGTCCCCTCGCGCTGCTCCCTGCGTCTTCCTGGGGTTCCCCCCCGACGCCCCTGGGTGGCAGTTCTACCACCCCACCTCTCGACGTGTTCTGTCCTCCCAGGACGTCACGTTCGACGAGTCAGTACCCTACTACCGCCTCTTCCCCTACCGCACTCCGTCCCTCCCCCCGCCCCCGCTCTTCTTGGTACCAGGTCCCCCCCCGGTAGACCCCCTCCCCCCTCAGGGTCCTGCCCCTTCAGGTGTGTCCCAGGTTGATGCGGTCGAGCCTGTCGAGGTCACTGGTGACTCTGGTGCTGCTGCGGGAGCTGAGCCTGGGGGTGCTGCGACTGGAGGTGCTACGTCTGCGGGTGCTGAGCCTGGGGGTGCGGAGTCTGGAGGTGCTGAGCCTGGGGGTGCTGAGCCTGGGGGTGCTGAGCCTGGGGGTGCTGAGCCTGGAGGTGCTGAGCCTGGGGGTGCTGAGCCTGGGGGTACTGAGCCTGGGGGTGCTGAGCCTGGGGGTGCTGAGCCTGGGGGTACTACGCCTGGAGGTGCTTCGTCTCGCCGAGAGCCACTCTCCCTTCAGGAGCTACGTGAGTGGTTTGCCAGGCGCTGGAGGCGTGCTGCTGGTGCTGGAGGTTCTTCGGCTGCAGAGGGTACTGCTGCCGAGCGTCCCGGCGGTGCTCGTACTGTGGGTGTTGGAGCTGCTGGGTCCGAGGGTTCTCCTGGAGCTGGTGCTGCTGAGGGTGTTGACGCTGAGACTGCCGCTGGAGGTCCGACTGGTGGTGCTCCTGGTGGTGCTGCTGGAGGTTCTGGCGCTACTGGAGGTGCTGCTGGAGCGGGTACTCCTGCTGGGGGTACTGGTGCTGTCCCTGCTGTTTCTGGCGTCGCCGCGCGGCCCCGGCCGTACTTCGTTCCGCTCCTGCAGCAGGTCCTTGGTCTTACACCTTCTCCTGGTCCTCCTCCTCCTCCCTTAGAGGGTCCACAGCCTGTCTCGTCATAGTCACAGCTACAGCCTGCCTCACCTTTGCCTGCTCCTTCTCCCTACGCTGGTCTGACTGGAGGTCTTACTTAGCGTCGTGAGCCTGCGTCTCGTCCTGCGTCGCCTGTTCGTACTGCGCGCACTAGTGGTCGTGGTTCGCGTCAGCGTCCTCCTCCTGTCCTTGGCACGCACCGGATGTCTCTGCGTCCGTCTACTGCTCCTCTGCGTGCCCCTTTGCCTTCTCCTCCTGCTTCCTCTCTTCCTGCTCTTGCCGACCCGGAGTCGGACTCTCTTCGTGCTGCCAGTCCTACTCTCACGCGTCTTCTTGCTACTGCTGTCACTGACCCTTCTTTTGAGTCTTCTGCTGCGTCTGCCCTTGTCACTGAGCTCGTCGACTTTGCTGCGCGCTGTCGTCTAGACTACGCTGCTAGTATTGTCGCTGAGTCTGAGTCTGCCTGTCCTCCGTCCGTCGGGGGTGAGTGTGCCCTTGGCACGGACGTCCTTGAGGACAGGCAGGAGGAGTTCCAGTGTCTGGCCGCCGCTTCACCTCATCTCGCGTCTGTACTGCTAGCCCCTGAGGGAGACCCGGATGCACTAGACATCCCGACTCCGCGCTCTTACGCGGAGGCGATAGAGGGTCCCTACTCCTCTCAGTGGCAGGCAGCTATGGATGCAGAGATGGCTTCCTGGAAGTCCACAGGCACCTACGTTGACGCTGTTCCCCCTCCTGGGGCAAACATCGTCAGTGGCATGTGGATTTTCAGGGTGAAGCGGCCGCCGGGTTCTCCGCCTGTCTTCAAGGCGCGTTACGTGGCTCGTGGCTTCAGTCAGCGGCACGGGGTTGACTACTTTCAGACCTTCTCCCCCACCCCGAAGATGACCACTCTTTGGGTACTGCTGCGCGTTGCTGCTCACCGTGACTACGAGCTGCACTCTCTCGACTTCAGCACAGCTTTCTTGCAGGGCAGCCTGCACGAGGAGATCTGGCTGTGTCGCCCACCTGGCTTCACTGGGTCTTTCCCTCCTGGTACCCAGTGGAGTCTCCGGCGTCCAGTCTACGGTCTCCGCCATGCGCCACGTGAGTGGCACGACACACTGAGGACTACGCTTGCGGCACTTGGGTTTGCTCCTTCTACTGCCGGCCCTTCGCTGTTTCTGCGCACCGACACCTCTCTGCCGCCGTTCTACATCCTCGTGTACGTCGACGACTTGGTCTTTGCCACAGCGCACACTGCTGGACTCGCTTACGTGAAGTCCGAGCTGCAGAAGAGACACACGTGCACTGACCTGGGTGAACTGCGCAGCTACCTTGGCTTGCAGATCACCCGGGACAGAGCACGCCGCACCATTACCCTGACTCAGTCACACATGGTGCAGCAGGTCCTTCAGCGCTTCGGCTTCACGTACTCCTCGCCTCAGGCCACTCCTCTGCCTACTCGCCACTCGCTCTCAGCTCTGCCTTCGGATGAGTCCGTAGAGTCGAGTGGCCCGTATGCAGAGCTTGTTGGCTGCCTCATGTACCTGATGACCTGCACACGACCTGACCTTGCATACCCTCTCAGCATTCTCGCACGCTATGTTGCTCCTGGGAGACACCGACCAGAGCACATGGCTGCAGCGAAGAGGGTGTTGCACTACTTGTGCAGTGTCAAACATTTATATGTTTGTGTGGTTCTAGACTGTAGTGGGTCACACCATAAGGGGTACACCAGATTAGGGTTTGACATATTTGTACTGTTGTTCCTGCTAGTCACTCCTCATTTTCTCGTTTCTCATTCTGACATGGTATTACGAGCCTAGGTTCCACCTAGGACCGAAACGATAGGGCCCACCGTTTCCGCTAGCCGCGCCCTCGTGCGCCGCCGTTCTTTTTCCTGCGCCTCGAGCGCCTCCTTCTCAAGGCCCCGTATGGCCCCGCGCTAGCCTCTCACGGCCCCCGATCGGCCCCGTGCTACCCTCCTAAGGCCCCCGTCGGCCCCACGCTAGCCCCGCGCTAGCCTCCTAAGGCCCCCGATCGGCCCCGCGCTAGCCTCCTAAGCCCCCGTCGGCCCCACGCTAGCCCCGCGCTAGCCTCCTAAGGCCCTCGATCGGCCCCGCGCTAGCCTCCTAAGGCCCCCGTCGGCCCCGCGCTAGCCTCCTAAGCCCCCGTCGGCCCCACGCTAGCCCCGGGCTAGCCTCCTAAGGCCCCCGATCGGCCCCGCGCTAGCCTCCTAAGGCCCCCGTCGGCCCCGCGCTAGCCTCCCACGGCCCCTGCAGGCCCCGCGCTAGCCTCTCACGGCCCCTTAAGGCCCCACGCTAGCCTCCCACGTCCCCTGCATGCCCCGCGCTAGCCTCTCACGGCCCCCCCCTTTGGCCCCGCGCTAGCCCCGACCGGCCCTCCCGCGCTCGCCCCTCTACGACCGAGCCGCACCGCGCGACCCAGCCGAGCCGCGCCGCCCCAGCCGAGCCGCGCCGCCCTAGCCGAGTCGAGCCGCCCTAGCCGAGTCGCGCCGCCCTAGCCGAGCCGCGCCGCCCTAGCCGAGCCGCGCCCTACTTACCTGTGCACAGCACTGCTACTGCTACTGCTACTGCTACTGCTACTGCTACTACCACCACTGCTGCTACTGCTACTTCAGCTATGGCTAGCCCTACAGTTCTCTCGTTCGATTCTGAGGGCCGCCCGATTAAGTTTGATACCTGGCTCGATGATCTGCACCTGTTCCTCCAGCTCACTGCCAGAGAGGATATCTCGCTGTACGATCACGCACTAGGCACAGTCCCTGCTCCTGCTACTACTGCTACCGCTACTGCTCGCTCGCAGTGGCAGACTCGCGATGCCCACGCCCGCTTTGCCATTCGCAACTCCCTGCCAGTCGATGAGCGTGAGCACTTCGGCCAGGATCAGACTGCGCAGGCCCTGTACACTGCTGTAGTTGCGCGCTACTCCTCCCCGGCCTCAGCTGCACTAGGCCGTCTCTCCCTTCCCTACCTGTTCCCCGACCTGTCCGCTTTCCAGACAGTCGCTGACCTCATCACTCACCTCCGTACTAGTGATGCCCGCTTCCGTGCAGCCATGCCCGCTGAGTTTCTTGCCTCCAACCCTCCCCCGCTCTGGCTCACTCTCTACCACCTAGTCACCCGCCTCCCTGACACTCTGCGTACAGTCAGGGACCACTTCCTAGCTCGCTGTCCCACTGAGCTCACCATTGCCGCCCTAGAGAAGGAACTACTTGCAGCTGAGAAGAGTATTGTAGCTGTAGGTGCCTCTCGTGGCGACCCCCGCACCCCTTTCTTCGAGGGGTGTTCCCCCTCCCCCCTCCTCCCCTCTGTCGCCTCTACTGCTGCTGTCGACCTTCTTGGTGCTGAGCAGGTCGGCTCTGCGTCCGCTCCCAGCGGGCGCCGCAGCGGCAAGGGCAGGGGAGGCAAGGGCGGTGGGGGTGACGGCGGGGGAGGTGGTGGTGGGGGTGGTGGCAGCGGCGGGGGCGGTGGCGGGGCTGGAGGGGCTAGTGGCAGCGGTGGGGGTGGTGGAGGCAGCGGCGGCGGCGGTGGCCGGGGTGGGGGCGGTGGTGGTGGCGGCAGTGGACGTGGAGGCGGCAGGGGCGGTGGTGGTCGTGGTGGAGGCGGCGGTGGTGGTCGTGGAGGCTCTGGCACTAGCCAGAGTGCGCAGCACCCTCAGTCCTCCCAGGAGCTTCGTGAGTGGTACTTACAGCACGGGGGTGGGGGGGGTAGCCTTAGCTGCACGTACGTCATCCGCACTGGTCGCCGCAAGGGACAGACGTGCGGGAGGGCGCACACTTCGCAGCGCTGCTTCTCACGCCTAGATGACGCTTGGCGTGCTCAGTTTCCTGACGCTCCTGAGCTCCCTCAGTGGGCTGATCTCCTCAAGAAGGATATCGATATCTATGCTCTTGATTTTGATGTTATTCTCAAAGCAATGTATGCATTGACTATTAGTGGAGAGGAGGACCAGTACCTGAGTGTTCCGCCTGACCCAGGCATCCGCACGAGAGAGGCTGCCGCCCTAGGTGCTTGCGTGTCTGCTGCCCCAGGTACTGGTGAGGCTACTGCTCTAGGTGCGTGTGTGTCCGCCACCCCAGGTGCTACTGAGTCCACTGAGGCACTGCACACCTTCACTCTAGACTCAGGCGCTTCGCGCTGTTTCTTTCGTGACCGCATTGCTCTTGAGCCCCTTGCTCGACCAGTCGCTGTCTCGCTCGCTGACCCCTCTGGGGGTCCGGTCATTGCGACCTCCTCCACCCTCCTTCCTTGTCCTGCTGTCCCGTCGGGCACACTGTCAGGTCTCCACCTCCCCTCGTTCTCTACGAACTTGGTGGCGGGTTGTGCGCTTCAGGATGGGGGTGTTCACCAGTTCACCCCTGCCTACGAGCGTGTGACACACTGCACGTGTGCTCGGACGGGCCGTCACCTGGCTACCTTCACTCGGCAGCCGGGGTCGGACCTGTACACACTGACCACTGAGTCCACTCAGGTAGCGGCGTCTGCGTCTGCGTCTACGTCAGGTCAGCTCTCTGCCCCCTGCTTGTGTCGCTCTCTAGCGCACAAGACTGTCCTCTGGCACCACCGACTTGGTCACCCGTCAGTGCAGCGCCTTCGGGGCATGCACGCCCGGTACCTTGTCTCTGGTCTTCCTCGGGTACTCCCTCCCTTCCCACCCTCCCTTGCTCCTCCTTGTCTTCCCTGTGTCGAGGGGCGGCAGCGCGCTGCCCCTCACTCCTCCTCGTTCCCCCCGACGACTGCTCCTTTGCAGACGCTCCACATGGACGTGTGGGGCCCAGCCCGCATCCGTGGTCAGGGCCAGGAGAGGTACTTCTTGATCGTCGTTGACGACTACTCGCGCTACACCACGGTCTTCCCCTTGCGCACCAAGGGTGAAGTCCCTGATGTTCTGATCCCCTGGATCAGCAGAGCACGTCTTCAGCTGCGAGAGCGTTTTCGCTCGGAGTTTCCTGTTCTGCGCTTGCACTCTGACAGAGGTGGCGAGTTCTCCTCCGACCTCTTGGCAGCCTACTGTGCCGAGCACGGCATTCGCCAGTCGATCACGCTCCCGGCCTCTCCACAGCAGAATGGGGTTGCTGAGCGCCGCATTGGCTTGGTCATGGAGGTCGCTCGTACCTCCTTAGTCCACGCGGCTGCCCCCCACTTTCTGTGGCCGTTTGCGGTCCGGTACGCTGCGCATCAGCTCAACCTCTGGCCCCGTGTCTCCGCTCCGGAGACCTCGCCCACACTGCTGTGGACGGGGGAGGTTGGCGATGCGTCACGCTTCCGTGTCTGGGGATCCCGAGCTTTTGTTCGCGACACGTCTGCGGACAAGCTCTCCTCCCGCACTGCTCCCTGTGTCTTTCTTGGCTTTGTCCCGGATGCGTCTGGCTGGCAGTTTTACCACCCCGCCTCGCACCGAGTCTTCCCCTCTCAGGACGTCACTTTTGACGAGTCCGTGCCCTTCTACCGCCTCTTCCCCTACCGCACTGCCCCGCTCCCTCCCCGCCTCTCTTCCTCGCGCCAGGTGCTGCAGTGGTAGACCCCCTTCCCCCTCAGGGTGCCGCTCCCTCAGGTGTCTCTCAGGTAGACCCGGTTGAGCCTGCCGAGGTAGCTGTCGACTCGCGTCCTGCTGGAGGTGCTGAGCCTGAGTGTGCGGAGCCTGAGCGTGCGGAGCCTGAGCGGGCGGAGCCTGGGGGTGCTGAGTCTGGGGGTGCTGATCCTGGGGGTGCTGAGCCTGGGGGTGCTGGGTTTGGGGGTACTGAGCCTGGCGTTGCTGAGTCTAGGGGTACTGCGCCTGGAGTTGCTGAGCCTGGGGGTGCTGAGCCTGGTGGTGTTGCAGTTGACTGTGAGGCGCCTGGAGGACCTCCCTCTTCGCAGCAGCTGCGTGAGTGGTACTCGCGGTACTGCAGCCTCCGGCGGGGTGAGTCTCGGGCTCGTGGTACTGCTGGAGTTGGTACTCGTGCTTCCCCACCACGGCGGGAGCCGCCCTCTTCCCCTCAGCTTCGAGAGTGGTACGCTCGGCACATCAGTCTCCGTAGTGGAGCTGCTGGTGCTGGGGTCCCCGGAGTTGACGCTGCTGCGAGTACTACGGACCCTGGTGCTGGAGGTGCTGCTGCTGCTGGCGGTGCTGCTGGAGGTGCTGCTGCTGCTGGCGGTGCTGCTGGAGGTGCTGCTAGTACTGAGGACCCGGGCGTTGGAGCTGCTGTGGGTGCTACGGACCCTGGTGCTGGAGGTGCAGCTGCTGCTGGCGGTGCTGCTGGAGGTACTGCTGCTGCTGGCGGTGCTGCTGGAGGTTATGCTGGAGGTGCTGCAGACCCTGGTTCTGGAGGTGCTGCTGCTGCCGCTGGTGCCTCTGCTGGTTCGAGAGCTACTGCACGGCACGACCGTACTTCGTTCCGCTCCTTCAGCAGGTTCTTGGTCAGCCTCCTCCTCCTTGTTCTCCTCTCGCCTTAGAGTGTCCGCCGTCTGTCCAGTCACAGCCACAGTTACCGCCTGCCTCCCCACTCCCTGTGCCTGCTCCTTACACTGGTCCCACTGACGGTCTTGCTGAGAGACGTGAGCCTGCGTCACGTCCTGTGTCACCTGCGTCTCGTCGAGCGTCGCCTGTTCGAGCTGCTACCACTGGTAGTCGTGTCCCGCGTGAGCGTCCTCCTGCTGTCCCAGGCACGCACCGGATGGCGCTTCGTCAGTCCACTGCTCCGCAGCGTGTTGCTCTCCCGTCGCCTCCTGCGTCCTCTCTTCCTGCTCTTGCTGACCCGGAGTCAGACTCCCTTCGCGCTGCCAGTCCTACTGTCACACGTCTCCTGGCTACGGTTGTCACTGACCCTTCCTTTGAGTCCGCTGCTGCGTCTGCCCTAGTCACTGAGCTTGTCGACTTTGCAGCTGCGTGTCGTCTAGACTACGCAGCGAGTCTTGTTGCTGAGTCTGCGTCTGCCTGTCCTCCGTCCGTCGGGGGTGAGTGTGCTCTTGGCACGGACGTCCTTGAGGACAGGCAGGAGGAGTTTGGTTGCCTTGCCGCTGCTTTGCCCCATCTCGTGTCCATGCTTGTTGCCCCTGAGGGAGACCCGGATGCACCAGACATCCCGACCCCACGATCTTACGCAGAGGCGATGGCCGGTCCCTACTCCTCTCAGTGGCAGTCAGCCATGGACACAGAGATGGCTTCCTGGAAGTCCACACGCACCTACGTCGACGACGTTCCCCCACCTGGGGCGAACATCGTCAGTGGCATGTGGATTTTCAGGGTGAAGCGGCCGCCAGGCTCTCCGCCTGTCTTCAAGGCGCGTTACGTTGCACGAGGCTTCAGTCAGCGAGAGGGAGTTGACTTCTTCCAGACCTTCTCCCCGACCCCGAAGATGACCACTCTTCGGGTTCTGCTACACGTCGCCGCTCAGCGTGACTACGAGCTCCACTCTCTTGACTTCAGCACAGCTTTCTTGCGGGGCAGCCTGCACGAGGAGATCTGGCTACGCCGCCCACCTGGCTTCACTGGGTCGTTCCCTCCTGGCACCCAGTGGAGCCTCCGGCGGCCAGTCTACGGTCTCCGCCAGGCGCCGCGTGAGTGGCACGACACACTGAGGACTAGACTTGCGGCTCTTGGGTTTGCTCCTTCTACTGCTGACCCGTCGCTGTTTCTACGCACCGACACCTCGCTGCCGCCGTTCTACATCCTCGTGTACGTCGACGACTTGGTCTTTGCCACTGCGGACACTGCCGCACTCGCCCACGTGAAGTCCGAGCTGCAGAAGAGACACACGTGCACAGACCTGGGTGAACTGACAAGCTATCTTGGCTTGCGGATCACCCGGGACAGAGCACGCCGCACCATTACCCTGACTCAGTCACACATGGTGCAGCAGGTCCTTCAGCGCTTCGGCTTCACGTACTCCTCGCCTCAGTCCACTCCTCTGCCTACGGGTCACTCGCTCTCAGCTCTGCCTTCGGATGAGTCCGTAGAGTCGAGTGGTCCGTATCCAGAGCTTGTGGGCTGCCTCATGTACCTGATGACCTGCACTCGACCTGACCTAGCATACCCTCTCAGCATCTTAGCACGCTATGTTGCTCCCGGCCGTCGCCGGAAGGAGCACATGGATGCAGCTAAGAGGGTGTTGCGCTACTTGTGCAGTACGTCGGGCATGGGGCTAGTGCTTGGAGGGCGAGACCGGCCTGTTCTCACTGGGCACTCAGACGCTTCTTGGGCAGACGACCAGGCTACTCAGCGGTCGTCTCAGGGTTACACCTTCAGTCTTGGCTTTGGCTCTGTCTCTTGGCGTTCTACTCATTCTTCTTCTGTTCTCAGCTCCAGCTGTGAGGCTGAGATCTACGCCACGGCCATGGCTGCCCAGGAGCTTCGCTAGCTCACCTACCAACTGACTGACCTTGGAGAGCAGCCTCGTTCTCCTCCAGTGCTGTACGTTGACAACAAGGCAACCATTGCCTTGTGCCAGGAGCACAGACTGGAGCACAGGACGAAGCACATTGCTCTGCGTTACTTTCTAGCTCGAGAGCTACAGCAGCGTGGTCAGCTTCTTCTGCGTTACGTGGCCACTGAGGCCAACACTGCTGATGTGTTCACCAAGGCGCTTCCGCCTGTTGACCATCAGCGTTTTTGCACTCTTCTAGGCCTTGTGCCGACTGTTTCTCACTTACTTACTTCTTGACTTTACTTGTACTGTGATCATTATATATATACCTGCATGTTTGCCTTGTTAGGTTGTGATCATTGTACCTCTTGCTCTATTATAAAAGTGCATGTGAACTGGTCTTGTGACCGCTTGCTTGTGCTCGGAATTTGTGTGGAATCCTCGAGATCCACCCTGAGCTTGTTTGCCTTGTTTTGCCTTGACTGGTCTTGTGACCCCTAGGTCTCCCCCACTTTGCCTATGGGGGTGTGTCAAACATTTATATGTTTGTGTGGTTCTAGGCTGTAGTGGGTCACACCATAAGGGGTACACCAGATTAGGGTTTGACATATTTGTACTGTTGTTCCTGCTAGTCACTCCTCATTTTCTCGTTTCTCATTCTGACATGCAGTACGTCGGGCATGGGGCTAGTGCTTGGAGGGCGCAGTCCAGTGGTCCTCACTGGGCACGCGGACACTTCTTGGGCTGACGACCAGGCTACGCAGCGGTCGTCACAGGGTTACACCTTCGGCCTTGGTTCCGGCTCTGTCTCATGGCGGGCTACTCGCTCGTCTTCTGTTCTCGGCTCCAATTGTGAGGCTGAGATCTACGCCGGGGCTATGGCTGCTCAGGAGCTTCGCTGGCTCACCTACCTGCTGACCGACCTTGGAGAGCCGCCTCGTTCTCCTCCAGTCCTGTACGTAGACAACAAGGCCATGCTGGCCTTGTGTCGAGAGCAGCGACTGGAGCACAGGACAAAACACATTGCTCTCCGCTACTTTCTTGCTCGTGAGCTGCAGCAGCGTGGACAGTTGCGACTTGCGTACGTGGCCTCTGAGGCCAACACTGCTGATGTCTTCACCAAGGCACTTGCGCCTTGTGATCATCAGCGTTGCTGCACGCAGCTGGGTCTTGTGCCTGTCTTGCCTCACTTGCTCACTTCTTGACCTTGCTTGTACCTTGACCTATATATACTCTTGCTCTTGCTTGCTTGACTCTTGTGTATCTCTATATATGATCTTGCATGCGAACTGGCCTTGTGGCCCTTGACCTTGCGCTCGGAATGTGTGGTGACTTTGTGATCCACCCTGAGCTTTGCTTTGCTTTGCTTGACTGGTCTTGTGACCCCTTGTTGTCCCCCACTTTGCCTATGGGGTTGTGTCAGAACATTATAGCTTACTTATTTGTGTAGGCTATAGTGGGGTATCCCATAGGGGGTACAACCCAATTAGGGTTTCATATTTGTACTCACTGCATTCATAGTTGATTCATTCTCGTTCAGTTATTCACACGCTAGGCCGAAAAAAAAAAAAAAAAAAAAAAAAAAAAAAGAGGAGGAAACGAGGAGAAGAAGAAGCGCCGTCTCGCGCCTGACACATTCGTTGACATTTCCGTCGGTTTTATTTTCTTCACACATTTGATCAATGGTTGCCCGTACATGTACATGCACACGCATGCCTTCACATGGAATACTCAACCTGTATACCACTTGGCCTCCCATGCACAGGAGCACGACGGTGCGAGGCGGCATGCTACGATGACCCGTACGAATTTGCCGTTACAGGCAGAACAATTATACAGATGCGCGATCGTCTTCGCGCGACCTTTGCGTGGTGGAGCTCATGGTGCCCCAGCAGCCTCGTTCTCTCCGTCATCGCCAAGGGTTACTGGTTGCCATGGAGCCACGGCCCACCACAACCTTTCCACGATCGCAATCATGTCGGGGCAAACACGCATGCCACGTTCACACGTACCGCCATCCAAAAACTCATAGAGACGGGAGCGGCAGTACCGATGGCCGCAACGGAGCTCAAGTGCATAAGTCCACTTAACGTGGTCGAGCAAAAAGAAAAAAAGAGCTCATTCTTGATCTGAGAAAGGTCAACGCTAACTTGATTGTCCCCAAGTTCAAGTACGA